TATCCCTGTCCTTTGCTAAGATTAGTGCCCTGGTTAATGCAATGAGCTCAGTCTGTTGTGAGCTGATGCTGTTTGGAAGTGGGGCAGCCTCAATTTCTTCCCTGAGGTGGAAAGGCACATTCATTGTCATGACAGTCCTCTACTATGGCATATGTGGCCTGATAAGGGGGTGTTTTAGAAGCACTGCTATCAACAAACCAGTTGGGATGCCTGGGATGTGAATAGAGGTCAGGTGGTGAAAAACTGTTAAGGAGAAATCTATTATTAATTCAAGATAGGAGTGGTCCTCTGAAGTCCCCTTGAGGTTAGGATTGGGTATAAGTGAAATGGGGTTTAGAGGGGGGCTGCGATGGATCGATACTGCCTTAGTCACTTTTTCTCATTACTGAGACAAAATATCTTATACCTAAAGTTAAAGGAGGAAAGGTTTATTTAGCCCACAGTTTGTAGAGGTTTCAGTTCATAGTTGGATGGCTCCAAGGCAGGGTGGAATGGCAGTGGGACATTGTAGAGAAACAGTTCATAGTGGGCAGGAGGCAGCAAAGTAGTGAAGAAGCAAAGCAGTAAGTGACCACAGCAGCCCTCTTTCTGTCCCTTGTATTATATCCAGGCTACATGCCCTTAGGTGGGTAGCACTCACACCCAGGGTAGGCCTTTCTTTAACTGATTACAACTCTGTTTCCAAATAAGGTCACATTTGATACAAAGTCAACATACAAAAATCAAGAGCGTTCCAGTATACAGAGTGTTCCAGTACACCAATAGTGAATCCACTGGGAAAGAAATCAGGAAATTAATTCCATTCACAATAGCTTCCAAAAAATTTAATACTTTGGAATCAAGCTAACTAGGGAGGTAAAAGGCCTCTACACTGAAAATTACAGAATATTAAATACAGAAATTGTAGAAGACATTAGGAAATGGAAGGACAGCCCTTGTTTATGGATCAGAAGAACCAGTATTGTGAAAACAGCCATATTATCAAAAGCAATTTACAGATTCAAAGCAATCCCTATTATAATACCAATAACATTCTTCACAGTGCTAGAAAAAACAATCCTGAATTTCATATGGAATCAGATCATGCCCAGAAGAGTCAAAGCAAACCTGAGCAAAAAGGTCAATTCTGGAAGCATCACTGTGTTCAAGCTATACAAGGGGTGACTGAAATATATGGTAAATATTTAAGTTAAAATTTTTATTACAGTAAAAGACAGATTTCTATTAAGCCTCCTCAAAATATTCCATATTTGAATACACATCATTCTGCTAGAAGTCTTCTTTTGTGTCTATGAGACGCTGATAGAAAGTATGGTGAATGCTGCTGCTGATTGCCATCCAGTAGAAAGACAGGCTTATAAAAAACATTACAGTGTGTCCTCGTCCACTTTATTCCCTGAATCTGGCACTGTGACTTTTGGCTCTTCTCCAAAGTCAAAATGACCATGAAAGGTAAATGTTCTGAATTGATCCAGGACACTGAGGCAGACACAACCACACAACTAAAGACATGAAAGAAGACTTCCAGAACTGCTTCAGAAAGTGGCAAGAGTGATGATAATTGTGTTCAAAGCAAAGGGAAATATTTTGAGAAGGATTAATGGCAATGTGTCTTTTACTGTAATAAATGTTTAAAGTTAAACATTCATTGTATTTTTTCATCACAGAACATACTATAAAGCCATAGTAACAAAATCAACATGGTACTACCATGAAAACAGAAATGTAGAACAGTAGAATAGAACAGAAGGCACAGACACAAACCCAAGCCCTTAGAGCCATTTGATTTTTGACAAAGGGGCCAAAAATATGCTGGAGGGAACAAATAAACAAATAAACCAACAAACCAACAAACCAGTCTCTTTTAACAAATGGTACTGGAAAAACTGTATATACACATGGCAAAAATTAAAGCTAAATCCTGGTCTCTCATCCTATACTAAAATCAAATCAAATGGATCAAAGATTTAGATATAAAACTGGGAATATTGAAACTACTGGAAAACAACATGGGGAAACTCTTAAAAGTCATAGAAAAACACCAAAACTTCCTAAATAGGACTCTAAAAGTAGAGGAAATCATATTAAGACTCAGGCCTGGGGCTTTAGCTCAGTAGTTTCGCTGCCTGCTGCGCAAGCACAAGGACCAGAGTTCAATCCCCGGTACCAAAAAAAAAAAAAAAAAAAAAGACTCAAAAAATGGGACTATATCAAACCAAAAAGCTTTTGCACAGCCAAAAAAAAAAAAAAAGACCGCATAATAGAGTGTTACACACATATCCATGTTTATAGCACAATTCACAATAGTTAAGCTTTGGAAATAGCCTAAATGCCTATTAACAGATTAATGGTTAAAGAAATGTGGTATATATAATGAATGGAATAGTATTCAGCCATAAAGAAGAATAAAATCATGTCATTTGCAGAAAAAAAGGATGGAACTAGAAATTACAAATCATCATGGTAAGTGAAATTAGCCAGAAAGTTAAATATCATGTTTTCTCTTATATAGAAACCTAAAAAAAATAAATAAAATAAAGATGACAGGAAACCAGGAGGTAGACTTCTGGACACTGGGAAGAGGACCAGGTGGGGTTTGGGGGAGGAAAAAAGGTAGGGATAATGGGATTAAAATTAAGATATGTTAAATGCATGTACCAACTTCCCCAAACAAACCTCACCACTATGTAATATGAACATGCACTAATAAAATAAAAAAGAACATCAGGAGAAAAAGAAATAGAAGACAATAAAAGAAATGAGTAAGAGACTTGAACAGTCTCTTTCAAGAGCATATTCAGATATTCCAAAACATGAAGACATTCTCAACCTTGTTTGTAACCTGGGACATGCAAATTAAAGCCACAGAATGGTATACCCATTGAATGTATACCCAACAGAATGGTTAAAATTAAAAAGATGTATAGTAGTAATTATTGGCAAAGATGCTGGGTAACTGAAATATAGTTGGTGAGAATATAACTGAAATAGCAACTCTCTAAAATTGTTCGACATCTACTTAAGTTTTACATACATAACATGCAATTTCACTACTAGGTATAAATCCAACAGGAATGTGTGCATATGTGATACAAAAATAATAATGTTTATAGTAGCATTATTCCTAATAGCCTCAAATTGAAAACTCAAGTGTCCCATCAATTGTAGGTGATCATGCCAAAGATTAAAACTAGACCCATACCTATCACCATACACTAAACTAAGTTCGAAATGGATTAAAGATATAAATATTAAGACAGAAACACTAAACTTGCTGGAAGATAAGTTAGGTAGAACTCTTGAAGACATTGGCATAGGAAAAGACTTC